AAGCAGTGGTATCAACGCAGAGTACTCATGTCAAAATTTACAAAAAATCGAATAAAATCAATAAAAGTAAATCGATAATTCTGAAAACTAATATTGTATTCGGAATCCCCATGCTCACTTCCCACCCTGTGCCAACTCCTAGCCCTGTAGGTGAACTCTGCAAAAAAAATCGATAAAAAATCGGTAAAATCGACATCGAATCGATAACGAAAAGTGGACTGTGACACCCGCCGGGGCCCGAAGTGTATGTGTGCCAAGTTTGGTCCGGATACGGCGGAGCCGGGTAAGCCAGCTAGTATTCGATAAAAAAATTCGAGTAAACGAAAACTTTGTATCTACTATATCGAATATTCAAACAAATTTTGATCGAAATTAGCACAATCACGGATTCCATGTAGTGGGCAAACTTGAAGAACAAACTATATTTGCTAATATAGCAATCAGAAATGTGACGCTGCATGTAGTTACTCGATTTACAGAAAAAATGAGTATTTGAATAACTATCAGTTTCCAAGTTCCGTTTTGCTTGAACCTAACTCCACTGTATTGTATGGTGCTTTGCGTGTGCTTCAGCAATTGATAACAAAGCTGTTTTGTGGCTAGAGCTCAAATCACCAAATCTTACAATAAGATCCATTAAGAATGTGAAAAAGATTTGATCAGCGTGTTGTTACAAGCACTCATGGTGGAATTTCGACGAAATTTGCGATCTTTACATTTTGAGCAAAATTCATGAGAACGCGTTTTCATAGGCTCGTATATCGGCGAATTTTATAGACTGGAGCCTGAGTCTTGCGCCATTTGATAGCACATCTCCTAGTAACTCTGAATAGTGAAGCAAGCAGGCAGGTTCTTTGACAGACACGTGAGAGGTGGAGGCGAAGTTACGAGCTTTTGTGATTCAGTTACAGTCACCTCCCGTATCTCTCCAAGAAGACCCTGTAATCCTCAAAGACCAAGATTTTCCTAAAGAGCGTGTTCGAAAACCTTTATAAGCGAAGTTTCCTTACAATTTAAGAGCATGAACATTTTGACCAAAATCCATCGGCCAGCTTCAGAGCGTAAAACGAGAAAAAATGAAATTACTCGAACATCTTGAAAAACTTGCTCATAAGGGTTATCCGACCTGCTGATTACGAAAATCACATCTGCTTAGCAAGAGAGCTTCATATTTTAGAGTTACGTTGAGAAAAATTTAGAACGACATGATTTTTCCAGAATTCACCAGCCCTTCTAACTCCTATGGAAAGATGCCTGTGACTATTTTCTAGCGCTGCGTAATCTACAGAAAAAGTACTATCGAAAGGTCCTTGCTGGAGTCTACTAGGGGCAATGCGCGCTGCTTTACACCTTCACGAAAAGACGTCTACAGAAAGATTTGAGAAAATTAAAAATCGGAATATCAAGGATATGCGGTATATAGAAAGACTTGTCTTGATGAACTGAGCACAAAACTTTCATCGATTCAGATTATGTTCATTCCGAAGGAAGTTACGGCGAGTAGAAATTAGAGACGCGTGATTTTTCCAAAATTCACCAACGCTTCTATCTCTTTTGGGAGACAGTCTGCAGCTAATCTTGAACGCACGATAACCTACAAGGACAGTACTATCGAACAGTGTTTACTGGAATCCTTTATGTTACACAGACGCTGCGTTACATCCTTGCGAAAAGACCTCCACAGAAAAAATTCGAAAAAACTGGAAATGGAATATCGAGAGCACACTGTATATCAAAATATTTGCCTCGACGATCTGAACACAATGCTGCTCCTGGATTCGGAATATATTCATTCCGAAGGAAGTTATGGCGTTGCGTACTCTGCGTGATTCGCATGGTTTCGCGGATCCTGAAATGTCGCGAACTTCCCGGATTATCGCGCATTTTGGCGGAAATCCCGGAATTCCGCGAAGTTCACGGAAATTTTGACATTCTGTGCGCGGTATTGTGATCTTGAGCAGATCTTAGAACAAATTCGATCAGAGTGGCTCTCTACCATACTCCTATAGTATACTGTCTATGTAACAGCGACAGATCAATGGTAATACTGTTGTCAGCACACTGAATTCAACCAAAATAATAGTCGATAATTCTGAAAACTAGTATTGTATTCGGAATCCCCATGCTCGATTACCCTCCTGTGCAAACTCCCAGCCCCGTAGCTCAAACTTTGCAAAAAAATCGATCAAATCGATAAAAGTAATCGACAATCCCGAAAACTAATATTGTATTCGGAATCCCCATGCTCGATTACCCCCCTATGCAAACTCCCAGCCCCGTAGGTGAACTCTGCAAAAAAATCGACAAAAATCGATATCGAATGACGAAAAGTAGCCTATGACACCCGCCGGAGCCCGAAGTGTATGTGTGCCAAGTTTGGTCCGGATCGGTTCAGAAATGGATTTTTCTATTCGGAACATACGTACAGACAAACAGACAAATAGACGTTCAGCTTCATATATAAGATGATGCATCTCGTCGAGCTGAATCGAACGGTGTCCTCGGATTCAGAATTCGTCCATTCTGAGGCGAGATATGGCTAAATTGACGATCATTCCGGCGCACTGCGGCGGAGTGTGGCGCACTCTGCCGCACTCCGCCGCACTCTGCCACACTCCGGCGCACTGTGGCAGAGTGTGGCGGAGTGCGCCGCAGTCCGGCGACTTTTTTGACGAATTATGAGCGGTATTGTAAGAGAAGAATTTGTTCTAGCTAAACTCGGAAAGGTGATGAAAAGTGCTTGCCTGAGTAACTGAACAACCCATCAGTTAAGCGGAGTCGGAAACATGCCTCAGGATAGCCGGTGGAACCCTCTTCCAGTTTTTTTACGAGCTAAACGCATTGTTCGTACAAAAAAAAAGCAATCGAAAAACTGCGAAAACATACAGTAACTTGAAGAATGGGAATTTCTTTGTTGGTCCCGTCGCTTTCGAAGTATCGCTAAAAAAGGAGATGAGCAATACCCATGTACGGATATACTTACAAATGTTGCGAATGAATTCTGATCCCTAATATATTACCTGGAAAAACCCAGTCGATAGACGCAGCTGCCCATTTGTATCGTATTTCCGAGAATGCGCTGGCGGATAAGCAGATGACATTTCAAAGAAATAATGAGGCTATAGATGCTAGCAGCTTTCGACTTGCACGTTAGCGAACAGCTACCAGGCTGGAGTTAAGCATTTGTTGATTTGTTGAATCGCACGTTTAAATAAACGGCAGATTCAATAAACGGAATAGCGGCGTTACAGCAAAACAAACCTGAAATTGTGGAAGCTGTGATAAAAATGGATTTGTTGCAAGATCATATCATAAGAGAGCTGCCGTAAGTCAGCAGTCGAAAACATAGAACACCATTATCATTCGCAGAAAGTGATGAGCAAATTTGTTGGAAAACAATGTGGCAAAATGTTACAGCTTATACTTGTACCAGAACAGATCAGATGAGCTTCAAAGCTTCAATAGAGAGGGCGTATACGAGAATCTTGGCGTGATAATTGACAATATGGCGCACACAACCTATATTTAGGTCACAGTCTCCGTACGTTTGCTGCAATCGTTTAGCCTAGAGCAAATGTTCTTCTCAAACAATCGCCAATGGCTACCGGGAGCACACTGAATTCGAAAACTTTGGGTGGGGGGAGAGGGGGGAGGAGGGACGCCCTGTTGGACCGATGGGTAAACTCCCGCCCTAACTGGCCTCGCCCTACTTGGCAGCCTCAATAGGAGTGCCCAATCGGAGATTTGAAAACGGTAGCTTGTCACAGAGGTCACTGAGAATGTGTAAGTTGAGACCATATTGTGCTCATTGTCGTGGTTGCGTGGTGGCCTATAGGTCCGGTCACAGTCGTCGTCGATGGTGCATGTCGACCAATGTGAGTAAAAGTGACTTAGAAGATTTTCTCGTATACAATGTAGTATGCTTAGCAGCTTTGGAGTAGTTTTTCCTGACAGAAATGGATAAAAAAACCTCTCAACCACAGTGGCACGCAAAGGGTTATTTTTTTTTGCAAAAATCTGCATTCAAAGAGTCATTCTTTTCTTACGCGGAAATCTGTGCATTCCAGGAAAAAGAAGAGATAAGCAGGGCAATTTCAGACAGTTATTGCACGAAATATGAGCATATGTGGAGAAGTGTTGAAGAGAATTGTGTGCGTATACAATGTAGTAAACTTAGCAGCTCGTTGCCGAACAGGAAAAGATAAGAAAGCGTTTCATATCAGTAATATTCGAAGAGTCTCTTTTTTTTCTGCAAAAATCTGTACCGAAAAAGTCATTCTTTTTTTTGCGGAAATCTGTGCTTTCCAGGCCTAAGATGAAATGAGCTCGGTATTCGGTTAATTCGAAGTGGCCATTATTATACTGATGGGAAAGTTCTACAAAGTCGTAAAGCACATACGGTGCTAAAGATCCAGCGTGCAATTTTACCTTTCTTATTAAAAGCAGAGTTCAATTACAAAGTTTCGTTGCAAAACTTGGAGGAATTTCAGAAATCGAAACACATTCATTCAAAATATGCGGTGAAAATTGGACATAACGTGAATTAGTTGCGAAATCAAGGCATGAGTTGCCGTATCTGAGCATTTCAAAACATAAAACGAGGTAATATTGAGGAATGGCTCTGGGAAGCGTGATTAGGGAAGAACTGTGTAGGTTTTTCAAAGCCATCTTGTCTGAAGCAAACCATATACTAGAAAACGCTCAAAGGAGACGCGTCGGAAGCCAGCTAATAAAAGCTATCGTGCGTCGCGCGACGTCGTTAGTGGGTGCCGGGACCTATCAGTCCGCTCGTTTCGGCAGGCGCCATTTATTCGGGTGTAGTCCGGAAGGCGACAAAACCAATTACGAAGGAGTGGATGAAGGCCACGCCCCCCAGCGCTCGGCGTCGCTATGCGCCTGCCGTATAGCGTCCATCCTTTAAATGGACGAGATGCATTTTCGAAAATGCGAGTGTGCGACGTTTGCGTGTTGGACACGGAATTCAATCTTAACCACTGTATTCGTGAAAAGGGATATTCAGCTGCTAATGTATTCACTATTACTACATCTCTACTGTGTATCTCGTCTTACATGCCGTTTAGGAAGTAAGGTATCTCCTATTTGGTTTCGTCAATGACGCTTTTCCTTATGAGTGTACTGTTTCACTTTCACAATGAGTTTGCTAATCCTCAGCCGCTGCTTGTTGTCACATCAAATATATGTATGTGAACCATACAGTGTGTGGAGCAGAAGCTTACTCACCATCGTTTAGTTCGTAATCATCCAGTTTGAGTAGAGCTGCGCATGTGCAACAGTTTTACTTCACCATGTCCGTGGAATATCCAGTAAAAATAAGTACTTGGGAAAACAAAACGAAGTCGGTTTTACACATTCATTATCATTATTTCAGTTTGTGCTGCAATTGCTGCGTCATACATGCTGGTCGACTGTTATGAAGTAAGTCAATTTTTTTTCATTTTTTTCTTTTGTTTTTTCCTAACATTTTCTCTCATACGCTACTGAATTCGAATGTCTTTTTGTTGAGTTTGCTGCAACCTCAGCCACTGTTTGTTGTCACATCAAAAATGTGTATGTGAACCATACAGTGTGTAGAGAAGAAGCTTACTCTCCATCGATTACTGACATTCATTCATTACTTTTCGAGTAGAGTATCGCATATGCAGGTATTTGGGTATCTGACTATCTCGCATATCGGTCAAAATCACTGTATATTCAAATCAGTATTCTATTCCAGTAAATGCTGTATTGATGCAGTGTGCCTGTTGATGCATAGTAAGTTGGATGTCAGTCCGGTCAGTCTGTTTTCGTTACTGACTCTGCTTTTCATGCCAGTTCACAGCCTTTTGTCAGTGATTAGGGGATACACTGTAGCCCCCTATATTTTTTGTTGCCACAAGAGATATGTGAATCATACAATGTGTGGAACAGAATTCACCCAGACATTTCAGACAACCAAGTGAGAGTATGCAGAGTTTTATCAGGTCCATTTAAGTGATACTTTCCATCTTTTCAATACATACGAAGGTACCGTGTCTTATCATCGGAGTAGACAGATTTAACTTGAGGGCATACGCCGTTGGCATTAGACGACTGCAGAAGGTAACAGATGCCCTCTGGGAACTGACATACAACTGCGAAGACATGCCCGATGGAAGTTAATACCTGCAAACAAGGTCAGATTGAATCATATAAAAAGGAAAGGCGTGCAGGAATTAACTGAACCTGAACTGAACTTGAACTTCAAAAATGCTTCTGGTAGTATTGCGCAAAATTCGGTTCATAGAAGCAACGGTTGTAGAGTGTAGGCTATCGGCGATATCTAAACCCTGGTATGCATACAAACAAATGAAAGTTGTTATTGGCTCACCTCATATAGATTTTGTACAAAGATGTGCATTCAGGCCGATGAATGGGTTGCTGCCAAGCTAAGTGGATATTTTCGCAGATGCTTCAAACCGCTCAACTCTAAAATTGGCGTCTCAAATAACTACAAATTTATCGTAGCATTTAAAGCCTAGGGCTAAGTACGCAAGCGTCATTCATCAAGGAATGAGGTTGCTGAAAAGAAGGGCACCTCACCTGGGAAAACCCAACGTACTCTCGAGCAGCATCTGTGCTTCAGATGTACCAGCCCTGAATACTCCACTAACTTGCCGATGGAAAGATGAAAAAATGGGAATAATGATGAAAAACGCCTCACCTAGGGAAAGCAATGTCCTGTTAAGCAGCATATGTGTCTGTAATGTACCAGTCCTGAAAACTCCACTATTACCAAATAAAAAGATGAAAAAAGATGGTAAGAATGGTGGGGAAACATCAAATGAAAAAAGGCACACCTTAGAAGAAACGTGCTATCGAGCAGCATGTGTATTTCGGATGTAGCAGCGCTGAATACTCAACACTTGCCGATGGAAAGATGAAAAAAATGGGAAGAATGAAGAAAAACGCCTCACCTGGGAAAAGCAATGTCCTGTTCAGCAGCATATGTGTCTGTGATGTACCAGCCCTAAAAACTCCACTATTACCAAATAAAATTACCAAATCGACACAGAAGGGAGCTGTAAAAGTATAGAGACTGGTCACAATAAGCAAACATAAAAAAGTGGCATAAACCTAGTCCTTTCGTATAATCATGATTACAGAGATGCGAATAGTAGAGCGGCAAAGCTTGAGCCTAAGCCATAGTCTCTGATTTGTGACGAAAGCGACACGGTATCAAATGGTGTACCTCTATTGATGAATTCAGAACGGGCAAGTCTCTCAGATCAGACTAAAAATGACTGGAGCAAGAACTTGATCAGACATTCGAAATAAAAAATGCCTCAGTCAAAGGCTTTGTAAAACCGCTGACATCAAAACCGAAGAAAAAATCGATAACTGGAAAAAGAAGGTTTGAGGATGCGGTTGAAAAAAAACTTGTAGTCACGTTCATTGTGATAGTCAGAAAATGAAGTCTTATTTTTGAGAACTTTCGTCAAAACAGCTGCCAGGATTATGCTACACAACCTCCAGTAAGCCTAAAAGAAGATGTAGACGAGTTGAGGTTATTTATGATTTCCAGTTGCCTTTGACAGTCACAACGGCAAAAAGCTGCAGCATTGTATTCCCCCGGTCCCTTTCCTATTCAACGGCAGATGATCTCAGGCTGTATGAGCAAACGTTCATATAACAGAAAAACTTTTGAATTAAATGCAGGAAATGCACTCAAATTTGCGCACCATCACATGAAAAAACGAAACATTCAAGCACCTGTGAGACGAAAAGCACTAAAGCGCATGAAGGTAGTGAATCGGCAAAACGGATCCTTCTGGAATTCTGGTAGGTTTAGGTGTAGACCCCCCTCCCCACCCCAAAGTAAACTGTAGCCAACCCCCCCCCCTCCCTGCCAGTTCATGAGCTAAATCCTGAAAAACGCGCTTCATAACTCCACCAACCCCGCCCACTTCCACTGAGTGGGCGAGTAGTTTAGAAGCACGTCTTACAGTACATAGTACTCGATGGCATGTAGTGTTTGGGCTACATTGTACTTGGGCTATCTACAATCTAAACCCGCCGAAATCCGAGAAAGGTCCATTTTGCCGATCCACTGCCTTCTCTCCTTACATTTCCCTCATCTCTCCTCGCACGTTCCGCGCTAGCTTATTAGCGCATTTAGAAAGTGCGAAACGTGTGTGAGGAGAAATTTTATGGAAAAAGATCAAAGGAATTATGGTTGTCGAGGATTTTTGGGCGCTCTTGGGCGCTTCTGAGCGAAGTCAGAGGAACCCGTCTTACTTCGCCGAGAGAAGCCCAAAAAGCATCCATAAAAGCCCTAAAAAGCCCAAAAGCGCCCGAAAAGCCCAAAGAAGCCGGAAAAGGCCAAAAAAGCCGAAGAAGCCCGAAAGAGCTGGAACGCAGAAACGGATCGTTGGTAGAATTCTGACATTATTTTGAATATGCGGACGAGAGAAATGAAGCAGAAAACTCGGTTGCGAAATTGAAACACCCCTTAGCGTCAAAACGGAAGGGACGTTGCAGCTCTTACAGGCTTTTTCGGGTTTTTCGGGCTCTGGACTTTTTCGGCGAATTATGACAGGTCCCTGACAGGTAACTGAAAATTGAATGCATTGAGCTAACTTCGCGAACGAGAAGAAAACTTTGTTTCGCGGAAATATAAGTAGAATATGGCACACTCTAACTAAGAAATAAATGAAAAGATACTACAGTAAAGACTAACCTTATTGAGTTGCGTAGCATAAATGTCGCTTTGAAAATCGATAAATTCCAAGTTGCATCTGTCTCATACGGTTCATTCATACAACTTTTTGGCTCACTCCCTCCATAAGAAGTAAGAACCCACGCTGCGCGTTTAGCAAGCAACATGTTCACGGCTAAACATAAAAATGGACATAATCTTCAGTATATATCTCAAGAAACAGCTATGTACTTACGTCTTGCGCAGCCATATGTACTGAAAATGTTCATGAGGTTATCCTTTTTAGAGCCATCTTTGTCAAGTAAACTTATATGATCGTGTTGATAGTATTCCCATGTTGGTTAACGCGACTTTGAACCTTATCACAATTCGCTGTTCAACTCAGCGTATGAAGCATTCACCACTTCTGAAGTTGAAAATTGGAGACAGTTCGATAAAAACTGGAGAAATACCTCTTTTAGTGGATGTGACGGCCGTTCGACAATGATTTGTCGCAAGCCTCCGAAATGTTTCTGAAACGAAAACTATAAAGCGAGGCTGTAAAAGAAACTGATCATTATGCACAGAGAAAGAAGAAAGGGAAGGTTAAAATATGCATCTATAGTTTAAGAACATGAAACTTTGGTGATGACCGGATATAGGATGGAACGTCGAGAAGAAGATGTGAACGAAGCGTTGATGATGATTCACGTCTCGCCCACTTCCACTGAGTAGGCGAGTAGTTTTGAAGCATGTGTTTCAGTACTTAGTATCGATGGCATGTAGAGTTTGGGCTACAGTGTACTTGGGCGATCTACAATCTGAACCCACAAAAATCCGAGTAGGGTCCATTTTGCCGATCCACTGCATTCTCTCCTTACATTTCCCTCATCTCTCCTCACACGTTCTGCGCTAGCTGATTAGCGCTTTCAGGAAGGTACGAAACGTGTGTGAGGAAAAATGAGAGATTCATGGGGAAAGATCGAAGGAGTTTTGGTTGTCAAGGATTTTTGGGCGCTCTTGGGCTCTTTCGAGCGAAGTCTGAGGGACCCGCCTTACTTCGCCGAGAAAAGCCGAATAGCACCCAGAAAAGTCCAAAGAAGCCGGAAAAGGCCAAAAGCGGAAAAAGCCCGAAAGAACTGGAACGCATATATTGCATAACATGTTTCTTCACAATCTACTTACGGTATTCTTTCTTCAAAACTACACCCAAGGGGTCGCGTGATCGCGTGATCGCATAGAAGAATCCAAAACATTCAAAATAAGATATGAGAGTCATCATTCTGATTCAAAATAAGATATATATGAGAGTCATCATTCTGAAACCAGAACACAAAGTTAATGATTCTTTCCTCAAAACTACACCCAAGGGGTCGCGTGATCGCGTGATCGCATAGAAGATTCCAAAACATTCAAAATAGGATATGAGACTCATTCTGAAACCAAAACACAAAGTTAATGATTGTGATTGTGATATCCGCATCCCAGCGTCAATTCGTAGCGCATAGCTCAAACTTGAAAAATATACGCTCCGTGACGGGACCCGTAGTGCGAGCAAATCTCTCGCCAACATAATGGCATCTGGCCTCTCCTCTGGTCATCATTGAGGGGCGTTATATTTTCACATTCCTTTTTCTGGATTCGATCGCAAGCTGGACCCTCCTCGTTCGTGCGGTTAAGGATAGGAGGGACGCAGAAAACTCTGCCGTCGCGCTTGAAATGATCGAGTGTATATTATAGTAAGGATGTGCAAACGCCAGGCACAATCGGACTTGCTATAATTACTAGCTCAGGTTACCAAGACATTGCAAGCTCCGCCCCTCTATCCAGCTGCTTCGGATGTTGGAACCGGGAATTCGAGAAAGCTTGAAGAACGATGTTCGGCAAAATTGCTCCAATCAAGACTAAGTTTCGGATTAAAACCTTTTCGAGGTTGCTCTTTTTAGTAATGGTGATCTGATTTTTTGCGCGCAACGTTCGCTCCCGCTTAACTAATACTGTTTCTGCACCTTTGTCAAGTAGCAGCCTTTATGTAATTCAGTATTGGTTTTTCATAGATTTAGTAGGATAAGCAGCACCGATAATAACCCAGCCAAGTAGTTCCTGTCGAGGACTTCTCAGTGCCAGAAAACTTCGTAGTAAACCTTAAAAATTTGCCGTACTGTCAAACAATAGAAAAAACATTTTTCTATTCCAAAAACCACCGAATTCAGACTTATGCTACGGATATTTTTTCCAATGTTCATGTATAAGGTTGTCCCAAAAGTTTTGTCGAATTTTTTCATCGCTCGTTAGAGCTCAAAGAACACGAATCCATATAAATCGGTTCAGGTACCATTTAATTCAGATTTTCATCCTCTTTCTTACAGCTACGTTTGCTCTCTGACTTATCCTGTCTTTGCGAAGCTATCGCCATGACTTTTTGAGCAGCTCAACAGTAACGTCAAAACTTTCCTGAATTTTGAAAAGTTTCATCCTGACATTTTTAGAGAGCGCTGGTATCTGTTATGTAGAGCAGACCTTTAGCTACATCTATGCTATTTCAGATTACATGAGCCACGTTTATCAAGTCGTCATAATTATTTATTTAATAAAAACCGTGACTTTTTGATGACGTTGAACACGTAAAAGTGCCAAAAAATTCCAAAAAACTGGTTTTACAAAGCAAATCAATTTTGGATAGATTGCATAAATTATGTTCACTAACGATCATGTTTCATTTCGCAAAAAAAACTTTTCATGTTTTTGCTGCAGATGCGTGTTCATGACTTTGCCAAAAATCGAGAACTTCGAAGAAGTGATTTTTTAGAGCTAAAAACAGCAGATTAGAAGAATCTAAAAACATTGCTATAAAGCCCGAGAATCGCTCTATTGGGCCATGCTTACACCTTTCTGAAAGTTTGAAATGAGATTTCTGAAGATCTTTCGAACTTTGAGCAGAAAATGGCAGGTGACGAATTCTAGCAATTATCAATAAAAGCATGCAGGATTGCTGTTCGAAAATGTCTTAAGAAAGAGAAGGAAAAGCTGCATCGAATACATGTTGAAACTCATTCGGGTCTTCATTGTGCGTGGTCTTATAGTGGTCTGAAAAAATTGATAAAACTTTCGGGACAACTTAATAAAATTTTTCGAAAACCCGTAAACCTGGTTTGGTCTTGTTTCAAGGAAATTTCGACTAAATCCAAATTCTGATCTCGGTTGGAATTATCGGCGTTGAACCTTGACTTTACCAAAATTTAAAAAGAGCAACTTCAAAAACAACCAAATCCGAAATTCGGTAGTGATTGAGTATTTCGCTACTTTCGATCTTGAAATCCCGGTAGCATCTGAAGCGACAACAGATAAGTGGGCGGGGTTTGCAACGTCTTGATACGCTGAGGAGCTCGTACCTATGGCTAGTCCGAATGGCACATCATTCAGGTGCGAGAATAGGGATCGGGTGAGAGCAACTTCCCGCATCAGTATTAGGCGTTCAAAAGCTGCCAATCCTTTTCAAACAACTAAAATTTTATGTGGACGAAACTGGTTTGAAACGTGTTCTTGATGTGCAATGCCACCAGCTTAGATACTATCAGCTCAAAATAAACTAAAAGCGTGGCAATAAGAACAAGGGAATGATCAGAAATCGAAGTGGCCAATTCAAAAAAGCTGCACACTATCAAATGCAACATGAAATGTTGACTTCAATTCTATATTCCATATCTGCCTAGCACCTATGTAGGCGAAGTTAGGAGGCGTAGGAGGCGTAGGAGGCGTTAAAGCGTTACTTCGCTAAGAAATCGTGCATGCAAAGGGCAAACTTGGCAGTACAGAGGTTCAGCTTAAAGGCAGTGTCCGGGCAAAGACTCGATTTTGAGATTTTGTGCTTATACGGGCCTATTCGCTACGCTGAATCCGAAAATGCACATTGGAAGGCGCGAAAATGGCGAAAAACGGCTCTAACACAGGAGGGAAATGAGTCCCCAGTGCGATTTCAAGCTCCCAGCTCCCGGAGCGATTTCCTCGATTCCGCTAGCCATCCTAACATCGCTACCGGTCAAGTGCGAATAACTGACTTGAAACCGGAAGCGAGAAGACCGCTCCGGAAGCCGGGAACGTGAATTCGCAGTGGGGAGGACCCCGCCCACCTGCTCATTTCCCTCCTGTGTTAGAGCCGTTTTTCGCCATTTTCGCGCTCTACGATGTGCATTTTCGGATTCAGCGTAGCGAATAGGCCCAAGTAAGCACAAAATCACAAAATCGAGTTTTTGCCCGGACACTGCCTTTAAAGGCACCGTCCACCCAAAATGGAGGTTGGCGAGATCATGATGGCATACTAGTGTGGGCCCCCATACTAGACAAACCCCCAAGTTTCGCCGCAAAAGACTGCTTCTGAAGCGAGAAATCCGCTCCGGAAGTAACAAAAGTGGGCGGGGCGCCCCCGGTCGCCCCGCCCACTTGCATGCTTTATCTCGCCTGCACTTGTTGCAGAGGGTTCTCGAAGCAGGGATTTTTGGGGGTTTCGCGAATTTTCGACTCCATATTCGGAATCAGGGCTTTCGGAAGGCCTGAAGGCGACAAAAACATTGAATTCGAGTTGGGTGGACCGCCGGGGGCGCCCCGCCCACTTTGTTACTTCCGGAGCGGATTTCTCGCTTCAGAAGCAGTCTTTTGCGCCGAAGCTTGGAGGTTTGTCTAGTATGAGGGCCCACACTAGTATGCCATCATAATCTCGCCACCTCCATTTTGGGTGGACGGTGCCTTTAAGGCTGGGCCAAACCATGCAGCTAGGTTACTTTATAATCTAAAGCTTAAGGTGAGCTGAAAGTGGAACGTTCAGATTCGCAATTATTATGTACGATTTTTCCACATAAAGCTGCTCATAACCTCGTCACAAAGGGCTAAGAAGATAAGGAAAATAGTTTCGAAATCGCTGTTGAATGCATCAACTAGAAGGCAGCGCTTGAATTGGTGAATGAATCGCTTCAGCGCGCTTTTAACAGAAGTGCATATATGTGATTATTAGTATAGGATTGCTATCAGATATGTAAAAATTTCTCAAATTGGCAACTACATTTGATGCTTTTACAATTTGAACAAAACAGGCCAATTTTAATGACAGAACATTTGACCAACCTGATACATACTATAAGTCATCTTTTCTCCTAAACTGGGCATCAAATAACTTAAACATTTCTTCTATGCTGCAGGATTTTACTGGTAAACACATGTTATTGCTGCCTTATGTTTCGGTTAAACACCGTCTTCAAAGGCCTGGAAAGGAGTCAGTCACTTTCTCAGACAGCGGATAGGACCCCTCCGCCGGAGAAATGGCAGGGCCGCGGGGTTTCCCCAGCGGTGAGTCTACCACTCGTCCGCGGAGCCCTCTCATTTTCTGTTCTGGAGACCTCCCATTTCTGCTCCGGAGACCTCCCATTTCTGCTCCGGAGACCTCCCATTTTCCGCTCCGGAGCCCTCCCATTTAGTGCTCCGGAGCCCTCCCATTTCTGCTCCGGAGACTTCCCATTTCTGCTCCAGAGCCCTCCCATTTG